GTGGCCTTCCTCCCCTGCCTTGTTTTCTTTGACCAAGGGGTCCCAGAAGCGATCGCTTGAAGGCCTTAAGAGCAAAAAGGGAGTTTTCCCAAGGGAGGCTTCTGCCACCAGACTGTAAACAGACATCTTCCCAGAACGCCTCTTCTCTTCACTCTTCTTGTCCACTTGGGGACTAGAAGTGAAGCTGAGCTGGGTCCCAGGGACATCAGGAGTCTCCCACCTGTGCCGCTGTGGCTCCGTGGGCTTTTTCTCTCCCCAGCCCCCAGTGCTGCTTGCTGTGCTTCTCGGTGTTTCTAGAGGCAGTGGGAGGGGAGGACAGGAGGAAGATGGATTCTCCACTTCCCAGTGTAACAGTTTACCCTCTTCTCTTCCCTTGCAGTGTTTGAACTCGTCAACCAGGGGTGAGTGTCCAGCTCCCGGTGCGGGTGGTCCCGGGCGCTCCTTGAGCCGCAGCGCTGAGTGGGCGGTGCCGGGCTCTGCTGCTGGGAGGGGGCCGGGGCCGCGTGCATCCGGCTGGGCTTTCACACGCGTGTCCACCTTCCAGGCCTGTCATGGAGGTGCCCACCCTCAAGCCGCTCTCTGAAGACCGGGCCCGGTTCTACTTCCAGGACCTGATCAAAGGCATCGAGTACTGTGAGCAGGGCCTACGGGGAGGATGCATTCCGAGGTGGCGGGTGGAGCGTGGAATGTTCTTGTTTCCCTCCTGGAGTGCGAGGAGGTGGGTGGGAAGCAGAATTGTCTGAGATGCGGAATCATGAACCACTACACAGAACTGTCTTGGGGCCATGCCACCTGGAAAAGATGGTCACACTAGCGCTCATGGTAGTGACCATTATCTAGCACTTTCTGTGTGTACCAGGCACTGCCAGGGACTCTGTGCATCGTGCCTCATTCCTCCTGACAACCCTGTGATGGGTCCCATTAACCGCCTGAAGCTCTGTGTCCTGTGTGTTTCCTGTGGCTGCCGTGACAGATGGCCACAAAGTGGCTGAGAGCAACAGAAATTCAGTGTCTCAGTTCTGGAGGCTAGAATTTGAAATCAAGGCGTCAGCAGGGCTGTGTTCCCCCTGAGGGCTCTAGGGGAGATCCTTCCTTGTCTCTTCCAGCTGCTGGTCATTCCTGGCAATCGTTGGCACTCCCTCTCTTGTGCCTCCTTTGTCACATGGCCTTCTCCCCGTGTGTCTTCCCTGTGGTTTTGCATCTCTTCTTATAAGGACACCAGTCATATTGAATTCAGGGCCCTCCCTGCTCCTGTATGACCTCATGTTACCTAACCACATCTGCAAAGATCCTATTTCCAAATAAGGTCACGTTCTGAGATTCCAGGTAGACATGAATTTTGGGGATGCTGTTCAACCCGTTACCTTTCCTCATCTGTAAAATGGGGATGAAGCCTCTCTGGACTCTCAGGACTGAAATCAGCCAGCCCATGTCTGTAGTGCTGATTGGCAGATGCCCTTTCTGTTTCTGACTGTTAAACCTTGGAGTGTCACCTCTGCCTAGCACATAGGATTGTTGTGAGGGTTAAACAGGCAAAATGTGAAGCAGTTAACATAGGACTAGGCCCCAGACTGGGCGTTCAGCTAAGGGAGCTGCTGCTGTTCTCACTGATATTATCATGTCCATCATCATCATCATCGTCATCATC